TACTACCTCTCGCGTACATAACTATCCGATACAATTGATTAATACTTCTAACTAACAGAGTGAGTCATTTTATAATTAGATCTGAAGATAAGCAGGACTTGAGTTCACATAGTCAACTAATTTCCTTTACATATAAAAAATTATTTACAGTATGAAGTACTAGATTCGAGTCCTGCATGCGGAATCGTGGACGGGCACTGCTAGGAGTCCGATACTAGGACGAAACGGCTGTCTAGTGCTTCCAGGTTTCAATGGTGGTCCAACATTGACCGGTTCATGATTTCAACAAAAAACAAAACCATTATTCACTATTTCATACCACACCTAAAAATAACTCTAGTTAATTGTTTCCCAATATAAATTTAGCTTTCGAAAATAAATTTCAATAGTTGAAATCATGAGTCAATTGAAGCTAGACCACCATGGAAAACCTGGAAGCACTGGACGGCCGTTTCGTCCTAGTATTGCACATCCACGGTCCCGCGAGGTTCGAACATAGGACCTATAAGTTTCGCACGCGAGCGCTTAACCATTAGACCATTGAACCGGTATCCAACGGTGTTAATGTCTAACTTCAACCAATCCACGAAGTTGCGCCACCGTATGCCATTGTCTTCAGTGAGCTGATATCTCATAACAGACCTGGTTGAACTCCACTGGTAACGGCTTCTCACTAGAACTCCAGGAAATGCCTCCTGAAGTCATTCACTACTTGGTAATTTTATAAGCTTTTTTTCAAGGTGAAATAATCAACTATGGTTTCCAGTGTGAGGTAGATATCATGGATGAAGCCAGATTCTGATTAATTAGTTTTGGAGGCATCTATCTAGAAGACGTTAGGAACTAGGTAATTACTTGACATGGCATCACATCGCCCCGCTACCTCTTCAAAGAAAACTCTTTTGAAGTTGCCCATGAAATGTTTTACCTGAGCGTCGGACTGTAGATGATAAGATGGAGAATGTAAATGATTAATTTCATGCACTTTGAGGAACTGCTTGAACGAGTGCGACATAAATTGAGAGCCATTTTCAGTCACCAAAGTCTCTGTAATCATGTAACATCTAGAGAAATTATATTAATTCCTTATTGTTTCTTTAACTGTCCAACTTGATATAAAGCATATCTCCAGCCATTTTGTAAATGGATCTGTGATAAACGAATACATTTGTCCTTGTGTTGGACCAAAAAATCTGCATGAAGTCTTCCCCAATGTTTGTCAGATTTGGGCCACAGTTGTGGTAGAATTTCTAGTAGCTTAAAGTCAAGAACTGTTATTTCATTTTCCTTTGATAGTGTGATCCACTGTAGGCCAGTAAGAGTAACTTTTAGTAAAAGACTTCACCTTATTGATCCCTAGTTTACCAGATTGAAATTACATGCGGACTTATTGATGAAAAGTTTACGGGATAACAATCCAATTTTCGAACATGATCCGAAAATCAACTACCATAAACAAGTCACGATGACGAAAATATGGCAGAAATTTTCCTTAGAAGTAACAGTTAGGTTATTAGGTAGGAAGATAACCCCTAATTTACCTTAAGATGTATCCCTTTAATGTGGCTTCTATAATGGTTTCGAAGGTAAGTGACAGTCCATAAACTGGAGCAACCAGTACTCGATCAACATGTTTCAGTTTCTGTTGGTTTCTTCTAGTTTCGGAAGGGAGCCAGTTAATCTTTATAATACGTTCGCTTTTCTTGACGTCGTATCCTAAGCGTGGTTGCCTATCACTGTAATCGATTAACTGTATACACAATAACTCCTTCCCTTGACCTAAACAGTGCCAGTAATGATTTATGACTAGTAAATGGAGCGAATCCATAACTAAGATTGTACTATTTGTTCTCATAAATGACATCATAAATAGCAAACCTAGGAGACCTTTTCACCAACTAGAAGTACATTCTAAACGATTCAAAACTCGTTGTGGATTAGGTTTATTACAGTGCTGAATACACTGTGAGATACAGAATTCCCTTCATTGTTAGTTCCTCTATAGTGACTGCAATTTTTTTCACCGACAATATCTAACTTTCCACCAGAAGCACTGTAAGCTGATTGCTTCGTTGAAGAAACTGGAGGTATACCGATACTGCCCCAAGTTTTTCTGCTAACAAGTGTAATATCCGAGGTTGTGTCAGGTTTCGGACGGACACAATATCCACACCTGATGGACAAGCATTGAAAGAGGTGGAAACATTCATGTACCTCGGCAGCATCATCGATGAACAAAGAGGTTCAGATACAGACGCAAAGGCAAGGATTGGAAAAACAAGGGCAGCATTACTACAGTTGAACAACATATGGAACTCAAAGTTAGAATCTTCAATACGAACGTCAAGACAGTTCTACTGAACGGAGCTGAAACTACCACGACCATCATCAAAAAAGTATAAGTAATTATAAACAATTTTCTATGCAAGATACTCAATACTCGTTGGCCGGATACTATCATCAGCAACCTACTATGACAGAGAACAAAATAAATTCCAGCTGAAGAGATCAGGAAAAGACTGTTGAGGTGGATAGGACACAACATTATGGAAGTAAGTACAGTGTCTATCACTTTGATCAGCTTACTTACGAAACAGGCAAGTATTTATATATTAAATATCCGATTAATATGTCAACGTTTTTATCATGTGGAGCGGAATAACAGTTCAGCCTGAAAATATGGACAAACCATTTGGGTTCAGAATATTAATGGAGTACCATATACAAAGAAGTAAAGAAAAAAAGTTGTCAAGACAAATACTGAGAGGAACGAATATTTTTTTGTGTAGTCAATATAAAATAAAGAAATGATCGTGACACAATGCGAAGGATAACAATAATAACAACAATTGAAAATTCACTTAAGGTTTGTTTTTTTTTCTTTACACTGTCTTATTTACAATGTTGAACCCATGTCTACACTGCATAATACGCTTTATATATTGAAATATTAGTTACAATAAGTAATCATGTCTAAAGAATGTAGACACCAATAATATGTGTAAAATATTGGCATAAATGTCTGATATTCCCTTTAGTACTTCGATCAGTTAAAATGTCAGGGAGTTTTTCGCTACACTTGTTCAACTGGTAAGGGATGGTAGATAGTACTTTTAGTACAGTTTTTCATATTTTCCCATTATTGATATTCCTCATTTTAATTATCAGAAAGCTTAATCTAAATGTAGTTGTTTACTTAAAGGCACTACTACTATTGAGACATCTGTTCAGGTAGCTTATCCACATAAATAAAAACTAATGATCAACAAAGAGAGAAATTACAAACCATTTTATTTTTTGAAAAATAATTTTGAACACAAATTCTCATATTAATTATCAATCATGTTGATAAGCTATACAGATATGTTTCTCATACATTTCAATCATATATATTTTACCAATACCTATGTTACAAATTGTTTATTTTCTAAAATCAATGAAAACAAGCTTGGTGAAATTTTCCAACCGTACAGCGTTATAAAAGCGCTCTAATGATTTATACTACTAACTAATACAAGTAGTTTAAAAGTATCCGTATAAATTAGGTGCTTATTATTATTTGCAGTTAATTAGCCAGGACTGTGACGTAAACGTTTAGAAAATAAACATTCGTATATATTTATGATTTCAATTAAATTCGACAATCTCCACAATTTCATACTGAAAATTACAATGTACTCATTATTAGCTAGTTTTGAAAGATAATTCTCAGAGATCTAGTGCGAAGCCGTGACCAGTGGAGTTTAACCGTGACAAATATCTTAGTTAAAGATATATTTCATAGTTAAAAAACTGTTACTGGATAAACATAAAAGAATAGGTAATTACTTTAGTACTCTTACCAAACCATGGTGAAACTTATCTTCAAACTGGAAAAAATTCTATCAACACACTATTTCCTATAATAGTTTAGCATTTATCATTAATGAGATTTTGAAATAAATGACAAGAAATCCAGTGAGTTACCGAATGTAAACAGGCAGAAGAGACAAATCGAAGAATACTCAGTAACGATATGGGCTATGCTGTTCAGATGGTGACTGTTGTTCGATCCAGTTGCTAGAAATACGAATGGTGATTTTGAATGGATCACTTATTTATGAAACAAATCCTCCACAAAAGAAACCCTACTAAATAATTATCAGAAGAAAAAATACTGGCCAATTGACTGAGTTCGTGTTAGGAAGGAAAAATTGTTATTTTCATGGGTACAGAATATTTCAATAAGATAGTAAGATGTAGCAGAGAATAAATGGGTAATCAAGGATGAAAAGGTAAGTCACAAACCAAGTATATATAATTGAACAATTATGTTTTCATATTATGAGTTCGTGAGTATACCTTTTTCGGGAGTTTCATACTACATGTTTAAAGAGCTGTCCAATACCCACTTATTTTCAATGATACATGTGAATGAGATCAATTTACGCCAGATACCGCCCATATATAACGTGGAATAGACAGAATGTGGTTAGTAATGGAATTCATGACGCCAGTTTCATTTCCCTTGGGACTAATTAACTGAATATACCAACATAACAGAGTTGGTGTTTACTTCGCAGGTGCATCCAGCGCGTCTTGGATTTCACCACTAGTTACATTCGATCTACTCGTTATAAACTTATAATGGCTAAATTGAAGCAATCCCATCGGGATGCACATGTGGCAACTAAGACTGATCAAATTTCAGTGGAAATATTGACCAGACGTTCCAAACCATTACAAATTGAATTATGTATATATCACCCTATATTTTAGTGAGGGCGGGAGGGAGTGTAATCAACAAACTATCGTCGACATTATTATGCTTTGGAAAAAATAAGAGCAATAACAATGCCAAAAACTCCACCTGGAGTCCCTCGACGGTTACTATTGGTCCTGGACCTGTATAAACAAGGGTAAGGTTAGACATAGGTGTCAGGATCCCTACCATCCTGTAAAAAAGAAATTTTCTAGGAAATGCTAATAATAATAATAATAATAACGAACACTAAACTTACCACATATTCAAATACCAATGTTAACGACTTCTCAGTATGAATAATATCATGTAAAGTGACTATATTTGCATGGCGTAGATTACGCAATAAGCTCACTTCACGTATAGCTGTACATGGTGCACCTTCATCATGTTCCAGACGTATTTCTTTTAAAGCAACTAACGTTTCTGTTAGAAGACTTTTACCTTTGTATACAGTTGCATAGGTACCCTGATAGGAGAAGAATAAACAAAAAAGAGAGAGAGACAAGTATTAACAAATAGTAATAACAATAATGATAATAATAGTAACAAGGATAAACTCTATTGTTTATAATAAAAATAAACAAATAATCAATTTAAACCAATCCATTTCTGATTAATTTGATCCTATGTTTACGAATTCTGTCTATATGAAATGCTTAAAACAAAAGGAAGAGATGACAATAGAAACATGCTTTACTGTCAAACCACGGTGAAAAGTTACGTAACACCACAGAAGGTAAAAATGAACAACAGTAAGTGCTAATAAAATTCAATTAGATACTGAATGAAAAAAATATAGTAAACGAAGTGAATTTGTCATTATAACTTGATTATGAAACAAGATGCTGAAATAAACATCCTTTTTTAACCGTATGAAGAGAAAAAAATTCGGGTGTTATTGATTGCTGAAGCGAAACAGTTATCGATTGGATCTTTGAAGTAAGTATATCATTAAGGAATGATTTCGGTAATGGGGAATATCACTTAAGAAACCAGTGAGCACTAGATAGTTGTTTTGTATGACTTTGAGGCTTTTCTTCAGCACTGTCCATGTACTCACGACATATGACATTGAATTGAGTATCTTCAAGTCTTTCAGTGCGTGAGATGAACTTTAATGCTATAATCCATGACGTACGGATTTTTACTCCTTGATACTTGGTGATATCCATCCGACACTGGACAATAATGAGTCAAAACATTCTACTGGAACTTCTGGAAGCTCACATCAGGAACCGAATAATTTCATTGAAAACTTGATGGTTAGTAATAAGCGTTATTTCATTTTGGTAAATCAAAATTAAAGAACAAACACTGATAGATATGGGAAATTCAATTTTAATCCATTGAATTACACTGTCAATGAGTGTGATGCAATATGAATACATGTATAGAACAAAAATGGGTCGTTAAGTGGGAAATGTTTGGGTTGAAGACAGAAGCACAAGACTTCAGGAAAGCAATATGACTATCGCAAGTGAGTTTAAGTTAGGGATATAAACTATCGAATACTAACTAAGTGGTTTGAAGGTTAACTGATAGTCGATAGGCCTATAAGTTTCGTAATTGACTCTTGATCACGTCATGAATGTACATTGCTGATGGGTTGAATACTAGGATGAAAAAACTGTCCTGGTATCCATAGTTCTTAATGGTCCTCTAGCTACAATCAGTATGTATTATAGAAGTACAAAATAAAAAGAGGTATGAGCATGTGTTACACACATGTACAGGCACCTGCCTGATGAATATATTGACAGATGTAAGAATTTCGATACCATTTAAGTGTTAAGAAGGCAAACAAACATGAAATGAATTCTGGACGTAGACTTCATAGTTCAGTTAAACAATGTATATTCAAGAACTAATATTTAAAATATTAAAACGATATAACTAACGAACACTTTAATGGGTGGAAAAGCAATGCCGACTTAGTTCAAATGATAACAACAACATGGACTACTAATGATAATAATCATAATAATAAAAATTAACTGAAAATATGTGTAATATCACTTAATAAGATAGAAGATTGAATTCCTTACGCTTTACAATTTAGTGTAAGTCATTATTTAAGAGAATAAGTAAAGAACACTAAGTTATGAAACGTCAGGAATTCAACTTTTCATCTTATTAAGGGATATTAAAAATATATTATCACTCTATTATTATTATTATTATCATTATTGTTACTGTTATTAAGTGTTTGCCTGGCGGTCAGTTTAATCGAAGTTACCAAGTCAAAACTTGATAATGATACTTAAAAACACAGATAGAGAGAGAGAGAGGAAAAAGAAAATTACAAGATTTTTTCCTATTGAGATCATGAATAGATCAAAGTTAGATCACCATTGAAAACATGGAAGCACTGAACGGCCTTTAAGTTCTAGTATGGGACCGCTGGATGCCGTCTCAGTAGTCTAAACCGAAGGTCCTGGGTTCAAATCCCTCATGCGTGATCGTGAGTGCGCACTGCTGAGGAGTTCCGTACTAGAACGAAACGACCATCCAGTACTTCCAGGTTTTCAATGGTGTTCCATTTTTATCTCGAATTTGGATAAGGAAAAGTAGGTTTAAGACTAGTAACAATGAATAATTTAATTAAATTATAAATGTAGAAAAATTATTTCACACAATATCCAGATCCCTTGATAAATTTAAATAAAGAAAATTTCCTTTATTTTATATAGTATGTATTATTATTATTCAGAAAAGAAAATAGATTTTGGCACGACAACAATAATAATTATGATAATAATCAGAAGAAAAAACAGCCAAATAGACACCATAATGTCTTATCAGTTTGATAAACCATAAACAACAATTCGATCTTTATTGTCAGTTAACTATACCTGTGTGTGTTTTCCTATTCTGAAATTCGCAGTTGAATAGTTAATTGAATTTTTTAACAAATTCGTTTATTAATTATTTTATTGTTATTATATTATATTCTGATAATGTTGTGTAACATGTATTCATTGAGTGTGGACATTTATCTAATACGAGAATTCATTTTTTAATTAATAAACACTAAAAAGGAAAACAGTGACATAATCCTTTCAAAGTCGAACACTAAAGTTGTCTCTTTTTTCTTCATGTTTAATTGTTTGGGGCTAACGAGTCAAAGAGAATGGCCGGTAGAGCATTGAAGAAAAGTAATTGCAGAAGTTAACTATTAGGTTGATATTTTGGAGTTACATCGGTGAAGAACGAGTTATAATAAACACAAAAGACGCCTGATAAAGAGAATAAAGGGGGAGACTAAAAACTAACTAAACAACATATGCACATACAGAGAATGGAAAGAGGACAACGTTGTGAAGAAAAAAATAGGGAGAATATAATCAAGATGAATTTTTGTTTCATTAGAAGAGAAATATGATATATGGTGTAGATCAGTTTAGAGTTATGTTCTGACCAATTTCTAAATTATTATCAATCTTTAACTCTTTAACCTGAAAGAAAAACAGAGGGCAAAAAAATATAGAGGAAGCTACACTCCCAAAGTTATTTCATATACCTAAGTCAAAGAATACTCAAGTAGGTGGTTTACAAATGACTTTGAAATTATAGAAGTTTCTAGAAAAGATAGTAAGTTATAGTAAATTTGGCAGTTGATAGGTCAGATTGGAGAAAAATATAAGTAAGTTGGTGTTTAGATCGATCTAAGACGTTTCCGAAAACGATAAATGGATAAAAATGCTGTTAGGCATTTTCCCCTAGGCTTCTGGATACACAGATACAAACAACTATAAAATATCTCCTAACAGAATTACAATATAATTATCATTAGTTCATATTCTGCAGTAATACAAAGAAAAAGAATCTACACGAAGTCTCTACAATCAAATTACCTAATTCCAGTAAATTTCTCTCTATATCACAAGTTTCCACATTAGTATGAACACATGTACAGAAATATATATGGTTAATTGTTATATATATATAATATATATATATATATATATATATATATATATATATAATCAGTGACAGAACGATTTAAATGTAACAACACAAAACCTAATCAGTATAACTTTCAGGTCAATATACTCATTTGGGTACATAACGACCTTAAGAGAATAAGCTAATTATATCATATTCTACCCTTTTAAATGAACCATTTACAAATTAACATAAAAATTTTAAATTAGGAGGCTACATTTTTGTTCAAGGTTTTAAATAATGTATGAGATTATTTTATTGCAAATGAATGAAGACAATTTGATTAAATGTTTTATTTGATAATATACATATCTGTATATTTATAGTCCTTTTTATAGTAAACACGATAAAGAAGTCATTCGTAAGGAGGCTCACTGATTCTTATCTAATTGCTTATCATAAAAAGAAAAAAATGTCCGTAACTTTTGTGCGAAGGCTTACTTACTTACGCCTGTTACTCCTCGTGAAAAAGCACAGGCCGCTCACCAGCATTTTCCATCTAACCCTGACCTGGGCAATCCTTTACAGTTGGTATTCATCCTTTTCATATCTCATTCTATTTTCCAACGTAATGTGTTCTTTGACCTTTCTCTTTTCTGCTTCCCTTCAGGATTCCAAGTTAGGGTTTGCCTCTTCATCAGGAAGCTGGTTCGTTCTCTCCCACAGAAGGCTGTTGCTGATGGTATCCGGCCAATGGATGTTGAGTATCTTGCGTAGACAACCATTTATAAATACTTGTACCTTCTTGATGATGGTTGTAGTAGTTCTCCAGTTTCAGCTCCGTTCAGTAGAACTGTCTTGACGTTCATATTGAAGATTGTGACTTTGATATCGGTTGAAAGTTGTTTTGAGTTCCATATGTTGTTCAATTGTAGGAATGAGGTCGTCGCTTTGCCAATCCTTGCCTTTACGTCTGCATCTGAACCTCTTTGTTCATCGATGATGCCTCCCAGGTATGTGAAGGATTCTACATCTTCCAGAGTTTCGCCATCAAGAGTGATTGGATTGCTGTTCTCCGTGTTGCATTTGAGTATCTTGCTTTTTCCTTTGTGTATGCTGAGGCCTACTGATGCAGAGGCTGCTGTTACATTAGTTGTCTTAATCTGCATTTGTTCGTGTGTATGCGATAAGAGGGCTAGGTCATATGCGAAGTCCAAATCGTCAAATTTATTCTGAGCTGTCCATTGTATTCCGTGTTTTCCCTCAGATGTTGAGGTCCTCGTAAGTTGATGTACAGTGACGAGTCCCACTCAACTGATTGTTCCACGATGATGCGTAGTGTCGCAGTTTGGTCTGTGTACAACTGATCCTTACGGAATCCAGTCTGTTGGCCTCGAAGTTGGGCGTCTACTGCATCTTCCACCCGGTTCAGCAACACTCTACTGAAGACTTTCCCTGGTATTGACAATAGTATGATGCCTCTGTAGTTTTAACATTTGCTCAGATCTCCTTTCTTTGGTATCTTGATGAGGTGTCCTTCTTTCCAGTCCGTTGGTACTTCTTCCTCCTCCCAAATCTTCT